CCACCCCACTTGGATCACATCCCTCTGGGCTCTCCCTAGATGAGCCTCCTCCCTGTGCCTGGTTGACTCCCATGCCTTGCAGGGGTGTTCACCCCATTTGGATTAGAGAGTCTGGCAAGGCAGCAGCTGCCAATACAAGGCTTTCTCTGCCCTGGTTGTTGGCAAGCCAACTTATGTGCACTCCTTGTGAATAGAGTTAGGGTTCTCCAGCCCTTCTATTTGTTCCAGTGATTCTCTCAGCAGCCAAAGGGGCTTGTCTCCCCTGCACAGAACCTCAGGACTGGCATGCCCAAACTGCAGCTCAGCCTACTCACTCCCAAGGGCAAGGGTCTGCCCATATGAACCTTCTCTTCCTTTTAGATCTGCCCAGGGGCCCAGGTCCTGACCCAGTGCCTTTTTCCTGTACTACCCTGTTAAGTGAAGATCTTTCTTGCAACTTTGGTTGTACAGAGTTCTTCTGATGGTTTCTGTTAGTTTTCTGTGAGAACTGTTCCATGTGTAGACATTTTTTGATGTGCTTGTGGGGAGAGGTGAGCTCTATATCCTCCTACTCTGCCATCTTGATCCATCCTGAACTGAATCTTTATCAGGCAAAGAAAAGGCTTTCCTAGAAGAGGGCATGTCTTGAGTAAAGGCAGAGGCAAGAATAGCTAAGTTTATATTTTCAAAAGTAGTGGCATGTTGCTGCTGCTACTGCTAAGTCACTTCAGTCGTGTCCGACTCTGTGACCAGGCTCCCCCGTCCCTGGGATTCTCCAGGCAAGAACACTGGAGTGGGTTGTCATTTCCTTCTCCAAAGCATGAAAGTGAAAAGTGAAAGTGAAGTCACTCAGTTGTGTCCAAGTCTTAGTGACCCAATGGACTGCAGCCTACAAGGCTCCTCCATCCATGGGACTTGCCAGGCAAGAGTACAAGAGTGAGTTGCCACTGCCTTCTCCAAAGTAGTGGCATCAGTTCAGATCAGTTGCTCAGTCGTGTCTGACTCTTTGCGACCCCATGAATCGCAGCATGCCAGGCCTCCCTGTTCATCACCAACTCCCAGAGTTTACTCAAACTCATGCCCATCGAGTCGGTGATGCCATCCAGCCATCTCATCCTCTGTCGTCCCCTTCTCCTCCTGCCCCCAATCCCTCCCAGCATCAGGGTCTTTTCCAGTGAGTCAACTCGTTGCATGAGGTGNTAAGTTAAATAAGCAGGGTGACAATATACAGCCTTGAAGTACTCCTTTTCCTATTTGGAACCAGTCTGTTGTTCCATGTCCAGTTCTAACTGTTGCTTCCTGACCTGCATACAGGTTTCTCAAGAGGCAGGTCAGGTGGTCTGGTATTCCCATCTTTCAGAATTTTCCACAGTTTATTGTGATCCACATAGTTGAAGGCTTTGGTGTAGTCAATAAAGCAGAAATAGATGTTTTTTCTGGAACTCTCTTGCTTTTTCGATGATCCAGTGGATATTGGCAATTTGATATCTGGTTCTTCTGCCTTTTCTAAAACCAGCCTGAACATCTGGAAGTTCTTAGTTCATGTATTGCTGAAGCCTGGCTTGGAGAATTTTGAGTAGTGGCATAAATGGGGCTTATTCTGGCTTCTTGACCTTCTAATGAAGACCCCCCTAGAATGCATTTCAGCTCCCATTAATTTCACGGCTGATAGTTGATGTTTCTGATAATGTTGATTTGTTTGTTTGTTTGGTGGAGGTATTACTGTTCAGTTAAAAAAGGCTTCAAGGAGTGCAGCTGCTTCATTTTATTTCTTCTTTCATCCATCTAGCATCCATTTTGACCATTGATAGCTTTCTGTACTTGGCTCCATTGACCCTATCTCCCACTCTCACCTGCTTTTCACACCTTTTTTCTGGCAACTCTCCCATTTTCTGACTTCTGCATTTTAGCTACTACTGTTCTATCCTAACAACTCTGCCCCTTGGGGGAATTTTCTGCCTACATTTATCTTCCTTTCTCTGAACTCCTAAAGCACATGGTCACATTCACTTGTTTTGTGCTTATTTATAGTCTTACCTGCCTACCCATCTATATCTGTCTACCTCTATCTACCTGCCTACATCCATCCACCTGAGTTCCATGACAAACATTCACAAACTCCTTGACAATTTGTGTGAAAGTTGTATGTAATGTGCACATGTGCATTTTTTAGAGAGCAGGTCTGTGACTTTCATTACTGCCTCACAGGGGCCTTTGATTCCAAAGTGGTTAGAACTACAGTATCAAGGCAATATCAGAAAAATAAGAAGTACTGGTTCAGTTGAGAAGAACTGGCCAAGTGCATAGCTAAGCTCTAAATGCAGAACTACACAAAAACTACTGATAATGAGAGACTCATGTCTGGAGAGTCCTGATGTCTCTTAGTCCTGCCATGTATAAAATATCAGATTTGTTAACATTATAAATCTACCCAATTACAAATTATATATACCTAGAAGTGATACAGATACGCAGAATTAAACCTCATGGTCTTATTAGGAATCATCTTTCTCAGTAGTACTGAGATTTTTCATCCACAGCTTTTCTGTGCAATATTCTTTCATTCAAATAAAGTTGAATTAAGAACTCAATATCAATTTTTAAGTGTTAAAAAGTTCCTTTTAAAAGATCTGTGACTCAATGTTAGTGTCACTCTGGCAATAAAACATCCATTCATGTACCAAAAATCTATCATGCAACCAGGTACTAGGCTTTGTCATGCTGAGGATACAGTGGCAAGCAAGATGTGATGGGGACTGAAAGATGATAAACACATAAACAGTAAATGACAATTTCAGGGTCTTCAAGTGCTGTGAAGAAAATAAGGCAGGTTACTGGAGAGAAACGAATGCAGGCAGTTGGCGTGCATTTGAGAGGAAACCCGACTGGTGAGGAGCTCTGGGTCATGCGAGAGCTGTGAAGCAGACGTGAGTGTTTGTCCAAGGAACGCTGAGGGAGACTAGTGGGGCTGGACTGTGTGAACACGGTGCAGGGCAGGAAGAGATAAAGTCACTGCAGTACTTTTACACCAAGTGGATGCTGGCTGAGATTCTTGTTGACTGTGTGGATTCATGCACTGATTTTGTTACTTTACACTCTGAATAGGACCACTATCTTGCTATTGTATTTTAGTTTACAAATGAGATTGAATTAGAAAAGCAGAGAAGAAGACTGACTTAGCAAGAAGAGAATGATTTACAGTCAGAAAACCTCAAACCTGATTTGGAGTCCAGGCTCCACCATCTGTTATTTGGGCAATTTACTGACTGAGTGCAACTTCAGTTTCTTTACCTGAAAATGCAAATCCTGACATACCACCACCCCCCTCCACTCATCAGGTGAAACGGCGTGTGTGAAAGCCCTCTCACTGCCCCCATGTTGCATCAGGCAGCTGCCTCAGTGAATCTCAGTCTGTTTTTGGCAGCTGAGAAACAGAAAACAAAGATTTGGACAAAAAGCGTATTTAATAATAATGTATTAACAAAAACAAGAAAAACAGCTATTATTTTGGGTCAGCAGTGCATTAACTGCACTAACTGAAGTCCTTTGTTACCTTCTTAGTCCTCACAACAACCCCATAAGATGGTCTGCAGTTATCCTCATTTTATAAAAGACGTTATAGGGAGGTGGAGTGGAGGTTTATAGGGAAGTTCAAATGCGAGTGTTTATTCAGAGGCAGGTCCTCTGAATACCCTCATTTATTGCCTATTTATTTTAGACAAAATTAGAATCAACTTGCTTATGTTTTCCCAGCCCACAGATTTTAGCACTTGTAAATTAAACAAGGTTTTGCTGGAGGTGGGCACCCCACTGGCAACACGATAGAAACACATTAAAAGAGAGAGAAAAAAAAGATACACACACACACCACAACACACAAATGAAAACAAAGCAACCAAAAATGAATCGATACAGTGGGAAAAGGGAAAAACACCTTCACAACAGTCTTCACACTTCAGAACCTAAAGGTGAAACTCGACATTAACTGTAAGAAATGATGTTAAATCACCAATAAAGGACAAATCATGGGCTTTCTTTCCAAGGGAAGTACCTAATGAAGTTTAGAATATTTTTATCCAAAATGCTTAAGACTTAGAAAACAAATAATGTACTTAGTAGTAGTGTTAGTCGCTTAGTTGTGTGGCCCCATGGACTGTAACCCACCAGGCTCCTCTGTCCATGGGATTCTCCAGGCAAGAATACTGGTGTGGGTAGCCATTTCCTTCTCCAGAGGATCCTCCCGACCCAGGGATCAAACCTAGGTCTCCTTCATTGCAGGCAGATTCTTTACCATCTCAGTTACAGGGAAGTCCTAGTGTACTTATATGGAATAGTTTATTTCCCAATGACACTGAATTAAATAAGTCATCACTGTATTATAAATATTAACATGACATATAGTATGATTCTACTAATATGAAGCTCCAAGTCTTGAAGACTTCACACTTAGGAGGTAAAAATAAAAGAAGTGCAAGTAAGTGTTTATCATAAAGGTCAGGAGAGTAGTTTACCTCTGTGAGGAGACAATGGGACTTGTCACTAGGGAGGAGCCCGTGGGGACTTCTGGGGTCAACAGTGTCCTACTTCTCAACCTCAGGGGTGGTAACAGTGGTGATAGCAGTGTCATCCACTTTATAGTGCTCATTAAGCTGTACTGGTATAATTTAGCACCTTTCTATATTTGCATTGTATTTCACAATAAAGAATATTTGAAAAAAAGGAAAGATAAAACTATATGACAAAGAATACAGGACCTCTGCTTATGTGCCTTTTCATGTATTTCACATTATTTTCTGACCCATCCTGTGAGAAAGGGAGGCAGGCATCCTTTTCCCCCTCCTCTTCATTTTAAAGAGGGGGACCCTAGAGTTCCAGGGGGTTACTCTCGTCTTCACCCATAAAGTCAGGGGGCGAGCTGGGGCTGCCAACCCTGCTGGGTATTTCTAAGTGGTCAGCTCTTCTAGCCTCTGCCCCAGGCAATTGTGAAATTGTGAATGAATTTTCAGAGATGAAAACCTCACCTGTCACTGTGCTCCACAGCAATCTTGTGCTTGTTCTTAGAATCGACCCTGGCTTCCCTGACCATGTCACTCCAGGCCCTGAAAATCTTCTTCTGAAGAAAATGTACGCACAGTTTTCTTACTTCTTCATCTAGATCAATCAGGTGCTGGGGATGAAGACGTAGGGGAAAGTGAGGCAATAATATCATAGACAAAAAATTTGAGCAAATAGTACAAAAGAGAAAGAATCCAAACAAACAAAGATCACTGGAGGCACAAGGAGGGTGTGGCAGCCAAGGCCATATCCTGTCAGGGGTTAAAAAGATAGCAATGGAATCAGAGCGGGAGAGACCCTTCTATGACTGAGGGGGCAGGTTGCTAGTAAAATCATTTGAGCAATAATGGGACAAGAAACAGATTAGTATAAAGACAAAAGCTGATGTAGTGACACATTACAGTTTATAGGGATCTCTCTGTGTGAAAAGAAATGTGCTTAAGGTTTTATACTAACAAAAAACTGACTTGACATTTTCAAATTCATTTCAAAGCAATGGACTGAACTGCCTCTTCTATATTGTTCTTGAAAAAAACATAATGACTGTTGACATCTGGAGTACACCTACTTTTCTTGCATAGGGTTGGGCAGAGACATGTATTTAAAACTCTCTTCCTTGTGGCCTTACCTGTAGCCAGCTCCGGATGACTCTCCTAAGCAATATTTGTGAATAAAATTGATCAGCCTGGGCCATCTTCTTAGCCAGGCTTTCCTGACTCCACTGGAACCAGGTCAGCAAGCATTTCCTCTGTAGGGTCAAAGAGTGATGCTCTTTGGCCACCTGGACAATGTTTTTAAATGAGAAAAGAAAATTATCTCTCATATCTTAAATCATTTAAGGAAATACACATCACCTTGGCAAGTGATGCTGTAAACCCCACATAGGCAGTTACTCTCTTAAGGACATTCATTTATGTCCTAAAAACTTTGACTGTTATTATATGGGGATTTTAGATTCACAGAATGCATAGCCTTTCAATGCTGACTCCCTGAAGACCACAATGACTGGTTATTAAGGAAATGGAATAAACAACCTCCAAAACCATTAGGTCACTTGCACTGAGTTTTGAAGTGGGTGGCTGGCAACAGTCTGTTTTGATCTCTAGGAGCTTGGGCAGCAACTGCATAGCAAACCTCTCTTTATTATGTACTTAACCACTGTCTAATTGAGGAAGTGCCAATACTTTCAATTTGTTTTGTAGAATGAGCTGTCACTAGCATTGAACTTTAGACACTGAAATTTATCAATAAACCACAGAATCATTTGATAGAAAAATAACAGGATGAATAATGTCTTACCAACTTACTTAGAGTATTATTCTATCAAAATAAACATACAACTCTGACTTTATAGATTTTAAAAAGTAACTGTTCCATTGTTTCAAGAGGTCAGAGGAAAAAGCCCTTCTCTCTTAGTCCTCCCCAGAAAGCTGGGCATTTTTACTAAGCCTCATCTCACCACTGAGCAATTTGAATGTGACTGACCTGAATGAGTCCCTTGGCAGTCACATATACTGGCCAAAATGACCATCACAGGAGGTCTCTGTGGCACCTAGGAGCCAAAAGGCAAGAGGAACCAGAAACACACTGTCTCCTACCCGCCCTTAGAGGAAAATACAAGAGAACCCGGGAGAAAAAGATAGTCAGAAGATGCCTTTAAAATTCTAAAAGTGGTTATTGGAACAAATGGAATACAGTACATGTGAGTTGTAGGGAAAATGCTAAATAACTCTTCTGAAAACAACACAAAAATGCAGTATAAAGAAGCCAGTAACTGTTTAACTGGATCCTCTTTCATTCTTAATTTTTTCTATCCTTTCCTGGAAGTCAGCTCTGATGGATGAAGAAGCTACTGCTTCCTCTTACTATTCTCCAGCACTGTTACTTCTTTTTCTTTCTTTTTAAACTTTCAGCTGGTGGTTGGTATCTACATATCCCTCTGATTCCTAAACAGCGCAGAAGACATGCCGGAACTGGGCAGGGGTTTTGGAGGAAGGGGTTGCTGAGTTCCCTCTTAGCTTTGTGACCAATGTGCTGTGTGACCTTAAGCAAGTGAGTTTTCCTTTCTAAGGCTCAGTTTCTTTACAAATTGAAAGAGATGGGAGAGGATTACTAGTATTCTAACATTCTATTATCCTGTGTGGTAGGCTGAACAGTGGCTCTCCGGATGGCCACAGGCTAATCCCTGGAACCTGCAGATATGTTACCTTACAAGGTAAAAGGGATTTTGCAAATGTGATTAAGTGAGGGATCTTAAGATGGGGAGATGGTCCTGGATTATATGGCAGAGCTCTAAATGTAATCACAGAGTTCTTGTAAGAGGGAGGCAGGAGGACCAGCATCAATATGAGATGTGACATCAAAGTAAGGGATCAAGAGAGAATTGAGGAAGGGGATATGGACAATGAAATGCAAGCAGCCCAGTGGAAGCTGAAAAAAGCCAGAAGACAAGAGTCTCTCCCGGAACCTCCAGGAGGAACTTGTCCTACTGACACTTTGACTTCAGCCTAGAAAGTCTGATTTTGGACTTCTGACTTAAACAGAAATTTAAGATAACAAAATTTGTGTTTTAAGACACTGTTTGTGGTAATTTGTTACAACAGTATAGGAAACTAACACACTTGTTCAATACAGTCTAGAGAGGTGGTTCTCAAAATGTGGTGCTCAGACTACTTGGATCAGAATCTCCCGGGCTACTTTTTTTTTCTTTAAAAATTTTTTTTTGGCCATGGCACATGGGATCATAGTTCCTTGACCAGGGATTGAACCCATGTCCCTTGCACTGGAAGGTGGAGTCTTAACCACTGGGTCCCCAGGGAAGGCCCTGGACTACTTTTTAAAAATGCAGATTCCCTGACACACCACCCCCACCACCCCAGCCAACAATGCAGAGCTACTGAGAACACCTGTGGGTGGGAACAGGAACATGCATTTTTACAAGCTTTCCAGATGGTTTTATGAATAGGAAAGTTTGGAAATGCTGGATTCATATCTGTGTTTCCCTGGTTTTATTTTAATTAGGTTTTTCTATATTTAAAGCCTATGCTGTCATTTTGAATTCAAACTCTGGTTTCTTTTTACATTCTTATAAATAAATTTTTAAAAACTTAATTTGGGGGACTTTCTTGGTGGTCCAGTGGCTGATTTCAAACTCCCAATGCAGGGTTCCATCCCTGGTCAGGGAACTAGATTCAGCATGCCTCAACTAAAGATCCTGCATGCCACAACAAAGACCCTGCACGTGGCAGCAAAGATCCCTTGCAGTACTGCAACTACAACCTGATGTAGCCAAATGGATATTAAAAAAAACTTGGCTATTCACCCATAATAATGGATTATTCACCCATTTTATCTTGGGTCATTCCCCCAAGATAAAATTCACCCATATTTTTTTCGTAAATTTTATACCCTTGATTTTTTTCAATCAAAAACATGGCCAAAAAAAGAAGAGCTGATAAGAATATAAGAGTGAGTTATTATACTCCCTGTCTGCTTTTTGTGTATTAATAATTAAAAGCAAAAAAATAGACAAAAGCCAGATAAAATAAAACTAGGAGCATGCAAATGGATAGCAAACTATTTGATATGACTAATATTTGTGGTAGTATATTACAAGAAGCAAACTTCCATTCAAATTTCATTTCCACATTCATTTACTCAGTAGATTAAGGCTTAGCCCTCCCATATCATTATCAGGAAAATAATGTAAAGAATCTGCCTGCAATGTGGGAGACCTGGGTTCGACCCCTGGGTTGGGAAGATCCCCTGGAGAAGGCAAAGGCTACCCACTCCAGTATTCTGGCCTAGAGAATTCCATGGACTGTACAGTCAGACATGACTGAGCGACTTTTCACTTTGGGGTACAGATGGGGCAAAGCCTCCAATAGGAGGGCTCCTCATGCCCTCAGGCCTGACCACCATAAATTGGCCTTATTAGCTGGTCTGGGATACTCAGTAGTTCCAGAATACTAAGAGGCATTAAGAGGCAGAGGACAAAAAATCGGGGACATAGAAAAACAGTATGGTGGGCATTTACAAAAGATAAAAAGGAAAAGAAAGTGTGAAAATAGAAGAGAACAAAGAGAATGAAGGGTGAACAGATTAGCTAGGGGAGGAAAAAGAGTAACCTGAGTCACATTCACAAAGGTATAACTCGCAAGGATTCTTATGATGTAGGACATTATTCATCTTTAATCCTAGTTTTCACAACCAAAAATATTAGCCTTACTTTTCAGTATTCACTTGGCCAAATGTATAAACAAAAGTGGTCATAACTAGTATGCATTACTGACCTTATTATGAAATAGAATTCTACAGATAACATTTTATCTATTTTGAGCTTTTGATTATTTAGTTAAATGCTCTGTTCTGTGCACTGGATAAATTTGAATTTCAGTGGTATTTGATTTCATTTATCTCTGTGTGGTAGAATGGATTACTGTTCCTGATAATAAGATTAGACACCCACAGCTTGCTTGTGATTTCATCCTGTCTCCCAATGGAGTAGATAGACCCTTTCTCCCCTCAGTGACCCTGAGTTTGGCCCTATGACTTCCCGTGGCCAGTGGAATGTTAGTGGACATTATACAAGCCCAGGTTTCATAAGCGTTTACATAATTGGGTTTGGCTTTTGTACTTGACATTTGCCAGGTGAAAGCTTCCCCTGAAAAACGGCTGGAGCCAGTAAGAGAGGCTGTGGAGAGACCTGAACTCAACCTAAACTTTAGTGGGAAATAAATACTTGGATTGTAAGCCACAGAATTTTAGGGCCGTTTGTTAGGCAGCTTTATTGCAGCAGAAATCTGATTGGACCTTATGGTAATGATTTTTCCTTTATTACACAGCTAACTATACACTGCTGTTTTAGCTACACACTGCTAAAATTGAGAGAAGCCTCTATTCATCTTGCCTTGGCGGTCTCTAATAAAAAATGAACTCTAGTTTTTTCTAATGTATTCCGTTACAGAAGTCTTTACCTACCTTGGAAGACCAAATTCAAACTGTTACCTGAAACAAACAAATATCCACACTCAATTCATTTATCTTTCTGACTTTTAAATCTCCAAACAACCTCCAAGGCCTAATTGGGTGTTTATTTGAAAGTGCACCTGTTGGTTTTGGGCGGGAGGTGGGTAAGAGTGTGACACTATACCTGGAGGTTTTGCATGCTTTGCATTCTTAGCCTCTTCCAAGGCTCCAGACCTTTCTTTCTTAGCAATACGCTTTCATAGTGTTCTTTGGCTATTGTTTCCAGCTGCTGGTTCCTCTTAATTCTCTTCTGCTTCTCTAGTTCTTTCTGGAAAAAAAAAAGAAAAAAAGTAAAAATGCCAAAGAGGAACCAAAATGGTGAGATAGGAGGCTAATAAACTTCCTTCCTCCCTTGGATGCATTGAATGTATAGCTACACATGGAGCAGTTCCCTCTGAAAGAAATCCAGAAACTAGCTGTGTGACTTTTCCACATCAAGCAAATGAGAAAATACCCACACTGATACAACAATACTGACAGGAAAGACTGAGACACAGTCTCACCATAAACTCCATCCCTGGCTCAGTGCCATATAATCAGGATCCACAGGGATTCCTCAGTGTCTCCATGAAGAATTAAGGGTCTGGACTGCACATCTAGCATCCTGATTTTAAAGATAACCATTTAAGCAAGGGATAGGCCTCCCAAACACCTAGCTCTGAAAGCCAATAAAGCTTGTGTCCATGAGACACACAAGACTACACAAACAAAGAAACAGGTCTTAATGAATATGACGTACTCACTGTGGCTATGCTCCTACGATCAGTTCTGAGAAATCAGGCAAAAAAAGCCTATCACCCAGTCTTTCCCTGAAAGGAATGTGACTGCACATTTTACAAGCTGCTGCTTGAGGGTTGAGATTCTAATTTAGCTTGCATCTAGGAATTGGCTGAAATCCTTCCTAAAGGCTGAGAGAGCCTTTAGGTACTTCCTCTGCTTTCTCCCTCTGGCTCATTCCAAAGGTAAAACCAGATTGCTAGCATCTCTCTGAAGGTAGCTTATATACATGTTGGCTTATACACATGTTTTACAAACTAACTTCAATTATTGTTACCTGAGAGGGATGGGCCCCTGGGCTTTGATAGCCAATGGAACTTAGAATCACAAGTCCCACAGGACCATGGCAAACAAGCAGGTTTTAAATAGGCTGCCATATGACCCAGCAATCCCACTTCTGGGCATACACACCGAGGAAACCAGATCTGAAAGAGACACGTGCACCCCAATGTTCATCGCAGCACTGTTTATAATAGCCAGGACATGGAAGCAACC